ATTAATTCTTTTATATAGTCCTACCTAACCAACGCTTTGGAGTTCGTGGATGATTAATACTCATAACCAAAAGCAATAAATGTAATTTCTTGGCACGTATATAATACCTCAACGACTCAGTTGTCACATGACAAGACAAAAAAAACCACCAAAATCCAAGGAAAAAAAAAGCCACCAAGATGTGGTCATAAGTCTCAACTCTTTTTTTTTTTCTTTCTCCTTTTTAATCTATCAGACAAGATTCTGCCAGTGATATGACAAGAAAAATAGCCAATTTAAACATGAATATATGAAAGTTTTTGACATATTCCTCACATTTATGAATGCTTAGGAAAAAAAACATGTCTTTGAGTTTCATGTGCACGCGGTTTAATACAAACCCGTCGGTGCTGAATTAGATGCGGACCGACGATGGTGAAAAGTGAAAATCCAAAGCTCGTATATATGTGTTCTCGTTTGTTTGAGAATACTGAGATGTGTGACTTGTGAGAGTATAAATGTATAATAATCTAAATATCTAATACTCCCCATTCGTATCTTAGCTTATAAGCCCAACCATAGCCCAATCCAAAAGCCAATAGTTAATCGTAAGATAAGACCAGTATTGTCAACGAAACTACAATAATTTGCGATTCGAAGATGTGTATCGTCATCTCGTAAGATAACTAAAAAAAGGAAGAATGCTTAGGAAAAAAAAAATAAAAGATACAAGAACAACACCACGTGGCGTCATGATAACCCTTCGATATGATTGTAGGCAGAGCTTATCCAACCGAACCGGCAAGTCGCATCGGAAAATCTAATCGTAGCTTCAATTATTTGCATGGGAACTCTCCCCCACTTTCAGTTCCTGTCTCTATCTTAATTTGTCTGCAAGCTTTTCTATTTAACACCTATGAATGTGCTCTAATTTATAATCCATGTGTGTGTTTCTACATATTTGTGTCCACATAATGCTATAACTAGTGTTAAAAAATCATTTAATCCCATGTTATTCAATAAATAAACCCACATGTAACAATCTTTTTAAAAAGTAATTAGTCTTCAAGAGATTACATGATTTGACTCTTGTTGTTGACTAATTTGATATGAAATTCATGATTAATGAAGATTACACGAACACACAATTTCATTATTATACGAGGTCCAAAATGTCTAAATCATATTTAAATAATTTATGTAGAAAGAAAAAAAAAGAGAGTAGACCTCTATCAAATTTTTTTTTAAAAAAAAAGCCAAGTCTTGTCCTTTTCCTTTGTTAACATTAATTTTTTAAATTATCTTTCTTTTATTTTTATTATTCGCTATTTATATGCCACAAACGTTTATCTTCTTCCCTCACCATCATCAAGTCCCATTTCCCAACACAGTCACAAAAGAGGAATCTTACAACAATGAAACTCAACGTCGTCATTTTACTCCTTCTCCTTCTAATCTCAACCGCCACGTGTTGTCCGCCGTCGGACCGCCGTGCACTGCTAGCTTTCCGGTCAGCTCTCCACGAGCCATACCTCGGCATTTTCAACTCATGGACCGGCCAAGACTGCTGCCACAACTGGTACGGCGTCAGCTGCGACTCGGTCACTCACCGAGTCGCCGACATCAACCTTCGCGGCGAGTCAGAGGACCCGATCTTCGAGCGAGCTCACCGGACCGGTTTCATGACCGGACGAATCTCTCCGGCGATCTGCAACCTCCCTCGTCTCTCCGCCATCACAATCGCCGATTGGAAAGGAATCTCCGGCGAGATTCCAAAATGCATCACACGCCTACCTTTCCTCCGTACACTCGACCTTATCGGAAACCAAATCTCTGGCGGGATCCCTAACGACATCGGCCGGTTACACCGGTTAGCTGTTTTAAACGTCGCGGATAACCGAATCTCCGGTCCAATCCCGAAATCGTTAACCAACCTCTCAAGCTTAATGCACTTGGATCTCAGAAACAACCAAATCTCCGGCGTAATCCCGCCGGATTTCGGCCGGTTAACCATGCTCAGCCGTGCATTGCTGAGCGGTAACCGAATCACGGGTCGGATACCGGAATCGCTAACCCGAATCTACCGGTTAGCTGACGTCGATCTCTCCGGTAACCAATTATACGGCACAATCCCACCGTCTCTTGGCCGTATGGCGGTTCTCGCGACGCTTAACCTCGACGGGAACAAAATCTCCGGCGAGATACCTCAGACTCTGATGACTTCGTCGGTGATGAACCTGAATCTAAGCCGGAACTTGTTGCAAGGGAAGATACCGGAAGGGTTTGGGCCAAGGTCCTACTTCACTGTTCTTGATTTGTCGTATAACAATCTCAAGGGACCAATCCCGAGATCGATCTCCGGTGCGTCGTTTATCGGTCATTTGGATCTTAGCCATAACCATCTTTGCGGGAGGATTCCGGTGGGGTCTCCGTTCGATCATCTTGAAGCGGCGTCGTTTATGTACAACGATTGTCTTTGCGGCAAACCTTTAAGAGCTTGTTTAAAAAATTGATTTTTATGTAATTTTTCTTTTAGTAGACCTTCTTATTATATTTATGATTATGCAATTTGAAAAAAAAAAACATAAATGTGCGCTACGTTAATACGTTTTGTGCTGTATGATTGATTCTTAGTTGAATTGTTGGATGACCAACATTATATACAATCCAGTTTATCACACGATTGATATCAAGTTTTACAGCAATTTTTTTTTTGCAATTAGATTGATTACTAATTATATAAAACAATAGCATCTTTGTCAGAAGTGACAAGAGTCAATATTTGGGAATATCCGAATATGGATCTATGTATCGACATGCCACACGGATACGGTTGAATATGTAGAATCGTAGCAAACTTCTTTTTTCTTACATATTCTATACTACAAATACTATATTACATAACAGTGGAATGTATTCACTTGAGTATGTTTTAGACATTTATTCTAGAGCTAAATATATAAATCATTTGGGGATAGCTACGAAAACATTTAATGCGGAAGGATTCAAATCACATGAAGAAGAGGAACGAAAAAATTAAATGAAAACATTAATGGAAAGTAGTGTGGGACTGTGGGGTAATGAATGTTAATAAAAGATAGAATAAGAAAATAAATGGGGAGAAGCATTGCATGTGAAACTCTGTAAGCATTTTGCGGTGAGTGTCAACTTCAGGACCTGTCGCTGCTTCACTACATAGGTCTACTTCTCAATTCTCATTAAAAAAAAAATGAAATTGAACTTCCTTTATCAAATTTCAAATGAAAAAGGCAAAAAGCATATGCAATTGTTACCATATCCAATCCTGGGCTTGTGTTTAGTTAAGTAATTTTCACGGCTCTATTTTTAGTTACCACTCTAAAGAAAATCCAATACTCTTCATAGCATCTATATATGATAATCTATATTAATGCAATATGCATGTGATATTTTTCAACATAGATATATACCACCTCCGATCCCTATACCAATTGTTTTTTTTTTAACTTACCACTAAATAAAAGCTGTATAGGCTTAAAGTGTGTATATTTCGGTCCCTAGTGTTTTATATAAATATGTAAATAGGTTCTCCTCTTAATGCGGAACCTCTTCCATAATGCTCGTGATCACATCCAATCCTTCAACAACTCAGCCGAACACGACGTGCTGGTCCATGTCCAGTGACCAATTCTCGGTCATGCTGAACAAGACCGTTGGTGTTCGGACCACGGTGGGACATGGAGAGGACACCTGGACGGGTATGCTTCAAGATGAACTTATTTGGTTGACTATAGGGAGTGTGTTTTGTACATTATATTACTTTTCCTTTTATTTTGCTAATATGTAAATCATTCTCGACTTTTATTTTAGTAGCGTTTCCTCATCATTCCTTTAGTTACGCTTCTTCACGTAGCTCCCTGGATTCGTGCTTAAATTACTTCTTTCTTTAGTCGCTCGTTACATAAGGATGTTGTATTACCAAAAAATAGTGAGAGTATTGGTATTATAACACTAGGCAAATAATCCCTATTACTTTTTTAGTTTGCTTAATTTAGCTAGTCGTCGAGCGCGGAATTTATAGTTGGATGATTCATGGGTTAATTATGCCAAAAAAATAAGAATTTGATATTGTAACTTGAGGTGTTAGCAATCAATAATAACGAATCGATTAAAAACACTTGGGAATAACGTTTAAACAGAGTATCTGATTCACATCTTCTTTCTACCACATTTTTAACCAAACAACCTTGTAACTCGTATCCGATCCAATACCTATTACTACATCGTTTCCTCACGACATTCCACACTAATGATTAGTGATTACTTATAACTATCTCATTTTTTTTAAAAACAAAACTTCATTTTTATCTAAATTGTGTTAGTTTTTGAAATATATTCACGATGGTTATAATATTGATATTCTCTTCTCCACTTTCTTCATAAATCCACTGCAAAGCTATACTACAAAAAAAAAGTGTGTTTTACATCACTTATTTTTTTATAGTTGCATCATGATGTAAAAGAATTTAACATGAACACAGAATCTCTCTTACACTTATATAAAATCATAAGGTGCTCATATTTGATATAAAAAAAAAGAGGGTCATATGTTTAACACTAATGCTCGATTTGCAAAAACAAAGGTTAATGGAAGTGATCTCTTCTTCTCTCATCAAAATGGCGGAAACACTCATTTTACAATAAGGGTGTTTCATCCAGTTATAAGAACTAACCAACAGTTTATTTTAGAGAAAACAATATCGTTTAACACTCATTTGGTCTAGACTTTAGATGTCAGTAAAATTAAGAATCGTTTTACACTTGTGATGATAAAAACGGTTAAATAGACTTTCAAATATTTTGTTCGCAGTATCAATATACTAGCTAAGATTTATGGTTATCGTTCAATAATTATTCAGCAGTAGCCAATCGCGATTTGTCTAAGCTCGAGGGAAAATTCAAATCCAAACGAAAAACAAAAACACAACAAAACATCCAAACGACCAAATGTGGTTATAAGGATTAAAAAATTTATCTCAAATCTAAGAAATCTGACCGCAGTTGGCGATCACCACGGGCTTGGAAGGCTTGCACCAGCCGCTCTCATCTCCGACTTGTTCCATAATGCTCGTGATCACATCCAATCCTTCAACAACTTGGCCAAACACGACGAACTCCTCGTCGTAATCCATGTTCTCATTCATGGAGATCATGAACTCAGATCCGTTCTTGTTCCCACCAAAGTTCCACATGGAGAGGATACCTGGACCGGTGTGCTTTCTGATGAAGTTCTCATCCTTGAAAAATCTTTCTTCGTAAATCGATTCGCCGCCGGTTCCAGTCCCGGCAATGAAATCTCCTCCACACAACGTATAGTTGATATCCACCCCGTGGAAGATTGATCCCTTGTAGTGGAGTGGCTTACCAAGCTTCCCCATGCCTTTCTCTCCGGTACAGAGTGCCCTGAAGTTCTCAGCCGTCTTAGGGGTCGTGTCGGCGAAGAGCTCCATCACGATCCGACCAGCCGGCTTGCCGTCCACGGTCATATCAAAGAAAACCTTAGGGTTAGCCATTTTAGGGCTTTCTGCAAGGACGGTTTCATGTTCCTTCCTAATGACGCCACCAGCCGGAGGATGAACATGATGGGCTCCATTACTAACGTTTGATCCAGGACCAGCCGGAGGATGAGCATGATGGGCTCCAATATTAACGTTTAATCCAGCACCAGCCTGTGGTCTGCCAACAGGGTTAATTTTAATTGTGTACCCAACGGGAACGTTAATTGTGACGGCTTTGTCGGTTTCATTAAAGCAAACGCTAATCTCCATTTTCGGAAATGGGTCAGAGAATTTTAGGGTTTGTTTATGCGTTGGAGAGATGATACTATGTAGAGAGAGAGAGAGAGGAACTAGTTTTAAGCTATAAGTGATTAGTGATCTTTGGATAAAATCAAAAGTGACTCTAGGGTTTACCGATAAAACAGTATTTTCGGCCTAAAATTGCAAAATTGCCGAAAAATAATGAAATAAGGTTATCGAAAAGGAAAAAAAAAAAAACTTATTTCTCCCATTCTCCTTCTTCTCGAATAAATTTGGAATCGGGTTGGCCCAACACAACACATGATCTTGAACTATTGAAAGAAATGTCCTTAAATTCTATTTTACTTAATTATTATGGCATAAATTTTGAGTGCTATATCAACGTATGCGAAGGAAACAAAAAAAAAACGTGGGTTCTCATGTGTAATGATCAGGTAATGTGCTTTATGGAAGGATTTAGAGCGTGTAATTATGATTTACACATTCCCATTTTATTCTTTACTACCACATTTTCAACCAGTTTTCCTTGTGACAATTCGTATCCAATCCAATACCCACTACTCCATGTTTTTCCTCAGCATTCTAAACTAATGACTATTTATAATTATCCTCTTTTCTTAAACTACAATTTTCAAATTTAAAATATGTTAGTTTTTTCAAATGTTTTCTTCAGACTGTGCAAGCGAAGTCTACTATACTAAAGGATTAGTATTTGTTTCAACAATACTCACGTCGGTGTAAATACATTTCTTGTTCTAACATTGATTTTTCATACAAATAAAAATCAGAAAAAACTGAATATTACCCAACAATAGAAAAAAAAAAGTGAATCTTCAACTTTGTACAGGTAAAATTCCCCACACATGAATCAGAAATCAGTAAACGGATCATTTTCATGACACACGTGCGGCAGAGAGTTTAACGGTGACGGAAGAGGCGTCGCCCTCAGTTTCTCCAAATATTCCCTAACAACAAAATCAAACCCCACCAACCGTTAAATCCCCGTCGTCTCTTAACGGAATATACGGTGGTCGTAACACTTCCGTCAATAAACCCCACTTCACACCCGCGAAAAAAGGGTGCTCCATTAACTCCGCCGCGCCACGGTGGCTACCTAACCGCCTACTCGGATTAGAGCGGTGAGGTCGTTGGGTCTTCCGGCGAGCTCGGGTTCTTTGACCAACACATTTCCAAAAGTCTCCTTCTTGCTCTTCCCTTTGAACGGCGTCTCTCAGTACATCATCTCGTACGTCAAAACACCAAGGGTCCACCAATCGACGGCGAAATCGTGACCGTCGCCGCGAATAACCTCCGGCTAGACGTACTCATCGGTTCCGACAAAGGAATTGGAACGCTCGCCGGAGGAAAAACTCGTTTTCCAGCGATTAATCGGGTGCGGATCTCGTTTTCTTAAGCGAACTAGCATTATTACGTGATTCTTTCTCTAATTTTGGTATAGCTAAATATTGATTTGTGAGCGAAAAATTACGAAAACTCCATCATAACTCTATTTTATAACCGCATTACTTAATGAGAAAATTGAAGGTTCTACATAAACCAAAAAGAAAAAGGCCATTGAAGGTTCTACATAAACCAAAAAGAAAAAGGCCAGGTTCTACATAAACCAAAAAGAAAAAAGGCATATAGGCGAAAGTTTTTTATTGAAAGCCATATGAAAACACGGGGCCATATCACTGCGCAAGCACTGGGTTCACTGGAATCCATGTTATTGGGTCGTTTATATGATCCCCTCCCTGAAGATAGTGTACCAAAAATTTATCTCCATCTTCCAAAAAGTAGCGTCTTGCAGTAATGGCAAGATTAACATCCTTAGTTGGATGTTCCACATATGACCACCTGTAGTTCACCACTATTTCATCCTCACCCAGCTGACATGGTAATTAATGATATTTTAATAACTATAAATTAAGATGGAAATTAAAAAAATATGATTAAGTTAATAAGTAAAATACCGCAATGTTTTGGCGAATATGGCTACGCTTGTAATTATGTCCATCCCGAAGTTTCACAATCTCCATATCGTACATGAAAAGACCTGCTACAGGTGTCATCTCCATATGGTCAAGTAATGGTAGACTTTCATTCTGCAGAAGATACAGAATCTCACTTTGGGACAACATTCTTTGCTGAGAAGCCAATCTGATTTGCTCTGCAAAATAACAAAATATATGTATTATTCCACCAATACTATAAAACTCTCAAAATCAAATACAATTCATCTCCCCTGTGAGGTTAACAGGTTCATTATTCTCTCCTTCATTGTTGATCACTCCTTCATTGTTGATTACCCCTTCTCCATGGATTTGAACTTGTGGAGCAATCATGGGATTAATCATGATTGAGTACCCCACAGGCACTCTGAGGGTGAATCCATTGGGTTGGATGATGGCTTCAACTCCAGCTGGAGGAGCATGACCAACAATTCCCTGGAATTGGAAATTAACCTCCATAGTGCCTAAGAGAAAACAGATATTAATTAGTATGCAATACATATTCTCAAGAGAAAAAAACAGCAACGTCAACAAAAACCAAAGCGTAAGACACATTCTTCATTCTTCATTTACTCTTAACAATAATTTTTCAGAAACAGAATTTCATATAAGTTTTGCAATAGGCATTAAAGAACCAGACTTTAACATAACAAATCCCAAATATAACAATATTTTTTTTCAAATCCAGAACAGAATTTCATATAGCTTTGCAATAGGCATTAAAGGACCAGACTTTCACATAGCAAATCACAAGTATAACAATTTCATATAAGCTTTGCAATAAACATCAAAGGACCAGACTTTAACATAGCAAATCCCAAATTTAAATCATAGAAAAGATAACCACCAACAAACTAGAGCCCACTTCCCATGTCATACATATCATCTCGAGAAAAAATACTGACCTCCACAAGCAAACAGATTAAAAAACTACTAAATTGAGGATTTAGCCATCGGAGACTTACCAGTAAGAGACTAAGAGATTCTAAGTTGGAAGTTTGAAATGCAGACTCAAATGCAGTCGATAGAGCATGCGGGTTTATCACAAAGGGCTACAAGAGATCCTTTTTATAGAGAAGAGGAATGTTAGGGTAAATAGAGTGAGCAAGACACGCGTCATCACACAAACACACGAGATGGCTCCCAATCCGAGAGCAGCAAATTTGTTACAGAAGAATATTTTCTGAGCTGTGCAAACCGTACGACGACTACCTTTTGTTTTGTCGTCTAGTCTATGTGACCGTTGCTGAGGATAGAGATGACACTTGTCAATCTCTTATACTTTCATCAACCATTGCCCAGAAATTGCTGCGTTTTTGTGTTGTTGTTCTTTCTTTGCTCTGCAACTCTATTTTTGTCTCGGAGCGAAGATGAGTAATGCTGCTTCTTGGGCTAGTAATGGCTTCAAGAAAGAATCATTTGAATTATAGTGACCCACTTCTGAAGTGTTATTGAATGGTGCTTTTCGTTCTTAATGGGCTATTTGATGTTGTTCAAGCCATATATTATTCTATAATATTTTAAACTTTGACGGATCAAGTTCAAATGTTTTAAGATGTTGATTAAATGAGAATATTATAATTATTTTAATTGTATAATTAATAATATTATAAAATTACCTTTGAATAAATATTTAATATAATTAATTAGATCAGTCATTTAATTTGTTCTCTTTGGCGATTCCAAATAACCGCGAGCACATGTGTTACACAACCCAGATGAACCACATAGGCCTTTTTGGGTGGGCCTCAACTTGTGGGAGCCTATCCTATAAAACAAACACAGTTTAGATAATTTCTTGTTAGACAGAAATGAAATAATGCATCCTCCCGAAAGCTTTCTAATTCTCTATAGTCTAAATATCGTTTAGTCTTTTTGACTTTATTTTTCCTCTAATGTTCACTGTGTTTTTTGGTTAAATAATGTTTACGGCTTGACCACTCTTGTAATTTTATCTACTGTACATTTCTACTCCAAAAGTTTGCTAAATCATATGAACTAATATTTGAAAGGCTAGCATCTTAACATGTGTTAGTCGAGTTAAGGAATTTGGTAAACTTATAAAACCTTGATCGATCGATGTAATAATGCATGTCAAACTTTATTTAGTAATAAATGATAGTTTATTTTACTAGGTTGTAACTTGTTAGACATAGTGATTGAAGCCACTATAATAAACACAATAGTTTACTCAAGTAGGTTAGTAACAAACATCACTTATATTAATTGACGCAAATTTTAACATTCTTTTTTTACAAGTGATACACAAATATTTTTTAGCCAGGTTTCTTCAGTTTCACGTAGCTCCCTGGATAAACGTATTTTTCCTTTGATGCCGTTTGGTTTTTTGGTGTTCGGTTTGTACATTTACCACCAATACTTTGGTTATGTTGGTTACTGGTTTAGTTATAGGTTTCATTAAAGTTTATGGGTTATATATTTAGTCATCACAAAAACTGTGTCAACTAACAATAAGAATAATAATTATGCTAGTACACGAGAGTCATAACCGCCAAGAAAGCGAACATTGACGAGTTTTCCGTGATCTAGTATCCAAACAATATTCTTAAATTATTTTGTTGATGTCGTCAATGAAATAAATTAGTGTGATGACTGAGTGATGCATTTGTCGTTGACATGTCAATCTTTGTAAAATATACCAAAAAATCAAAAAAAGGAGAAGGATTCACGTAAGAAGGAGAATCTGAATCCCATTATAGAACATAGAATATACCATTATCTCATTGATTGTTCAAAATCTCAATAAAGCTTCAAGGCTTTATGAATGTGATATTTTTCAACGTAGATACCAACTCCCCTTACAACTTTTTGGCCCAACAGGTAAATAAAAGTTTTATCTTCATTTTCAAAGCCAAACATCTAGCTTTTTAGCTTGTATGTGTCATGAGTGTTTTTTTTTTCTTTCTCATGTGTGTTCTTAATATGGATAGGATTTGTATTACCCATGACTTTGCCTTTTTGCCCCATATCTCAACATATTTGTATATAATATATTATTTCATACAAATAGAAATTAAGCTAGTCATTTATATATGATATATCCATCGTTGAGAGGATCTTGAACCATTCCTTCACATATTCTCCGATCCGTGATAGTCTCGTATGAAACGGAATGATATTATATCTAGTAACTTTGATTTCTAAAGAAGAAGAAACAGATTAATCATATATATAACATGTTAGTAAAACACGTATATGTCCTATTCTTTTGGATTCCACGTTGGATTACACCGCTACATTTAACAAAAGATTGTGAATATAATAATGTCAGTAAATATCATGATCCCATGAATTCAGTTTCCGGCTTAGAAATTTGACTTGCTATATTTTCAAAATAACACGGAATTTAAATGAATGTTCATATAAGTGTTGGGGTATCGTTCCTGACTAGATATTATCGATGACTGGATCTTTGTCAACTGAAACATTACTAATCAATAAAGTAATCAAAAGATGTGGTATCAAGGTGGCCCAACGATACTATAAACATGTCTAAACTAATATGTTTGGTGATTTTATCTTTTCTCTAATCGCTAAAAACCATTTACCGAATCACTAGAACCTTGATTATCTACAATAACTAATAAAGTCAGCAGAAGAGTAGTTATATATCATCGCTTATTAATTATTCTGATTGAAAAACGAAGTACCTGTTCCACATCTGAACTCTTTTTCGTACTCTATTTTACTTAATCATGGCATAAATTTTGAGTGCTATCAACGTATGCTAAGGAAAATAAAACGTGGGTTCTCATGTGTAAATTATCAGGTAACATGCTTTATGGAAGAATTTAGAGCGTGCAATTATGATTACACATTCCCATTTTATTCTTTACTTATTTTTCTATTTCTACCACATTTTCAACCAGTTTTCCTTGTGACAATTCGTATCCAATCCAATACATACACACTACTCCATCTTTTTCCTCAGCATTCTAAACTAATGCCTCTTTATAATTATCCTCTTTTTTTAAACTACAATTTTCTAAACTAAAATTTGTTAGTTTTTTCAAATGTTTTCTTCAGATTGTGCAAGTGAAGTCTACTATACTAAAGGATTAGTATTTGTTTCAAAAATACTCACGTCAGTGGAAATACATTTCTTGTTCTAACATTGATTTTTCATACAAATAAAAATCAGAAAAACTGAAAATTACACAACAAAAAAAAACAAATTATAATCTTCAACTTTGTACATGTAAAATTCCCCCACACGTGAATCAGAAATCAATAAACGGATCATTTTCATGACACACGTGCGGCGGAGAGTTTAACGGTGACGAAAGAGCTGATGACGTCGTCGTCCTCAGTTTCTCCAAATATTCCCTAACATCAAAATCAAACGCACCAACCGTTAATTCCCCGTCATCTTTTAACGGAATATACGGTGGTCGTAACACTTCCGTCAATAAATCCCACCTCACACCCGCGAAAAAAGGGTGCTCCTTTATCTCCGCCGCGCCACGGTGGCTACCTAACCGCCTACTCGGATCTTTCACCAGTAACCGCCGGATTAGACCCGTGAGGTCGTTGGGTCTTCCGGCGAACTCGGGTTCTTTGACCAACACATTTCGAAAAGTCTCCTTCTTGCTCTTCCCTTTGAACGGCGTCTCTCCGTACATCATCTCGTACGTCAAAACACCAAGGGCCCACCAATCGACGGCGAAATCGTGACCGTCGCCGAGAATTACCTCCGGCGAGACGTACTCATCGGTTCCGACAAAGGAATTGGAACGCTCGCCGGAGGAAAAACTCGTTTTCCGGCGATTAATCGGGTTAACCCGAGCGGATCTCGTTTTCTTCAGCCCTGTTTTGTTGCTCTCTGTCGCCGCAGGGGAGATCCAACGAGTAAAGCTCCGATTTTTTTTCCGGTGGTTGCTCAATTCCGGGTCGGGTTGATAGAATTGGGGACGGGTGGGTATTTGGAGGCTCCGAGAGAGGTCGAAATCGGTGAGTGTAACGTGACCCGATTGTTGAATCAGAATGTTCTCGGGTTTCAAGTCTCTGTAAGCGATGCCCATGGAATGAAGGTGCTCAAGCGCACAGACGATCTCAGCCACGTAGAATCTAATAACGGAGGAGCTGAAAACGCCGTCGTTTTGACGGCGAAGGAGGACGTTGAGATCGCCGCCGGAGCAATAAGGGACGGCCCATGCGAAGAATTCCGGTGACTCGAAGGAAGATAAGAGACGAGGGAGAAAAGGGTTTTGATTCGAGTCAACGGAGAGACGACGGAGAACATCGATTTCCCACCGTGCACGGCGGAGAGAGGAGGCGGAGGATTTGTGGACGAGCTTGACGGCAAAGGAAGAAGAAGAAGAAGAAGAGAGTGAAACGATGTCGTGTGCGAGTAATACAGTTCCTGTGGCGCCTTTACCGAGAATCTTGAGAGCTCTAATGGAATCGAGGTCGAGAATCTCCGGCGGTGAAGGTGGGGACGACGGTGATGTCTCCATTTAAGTGTGAGTGAGTGGGTCTGTATTTGGTCTTTGTCTCCTCTTTCCTTTATTTATATAATTCAGTCCTCTCGTTATCGTTGTCTCTTTTAGTTTTTTTTTTTTTCTCTTTTCCTTGTTCCTTTAATATTTTATTTAATATTGCTAATTATTTTCCCCATATTATGGCCATCGATGCTTGTCTTAAAGAAAAAGGTCGGGGAAAATATATGCACACGTAATATAATCTACAATTTTTATGTTCTATAATGGGGTACAGATTCTCCTTCTTACGTGAATCCTTCTCCTTCTTACGTGAATCCTTCTCCTTCTTTGATTTTTGGTATATTATTCAAAGATTGACATGTTAACGACAAAAATGCATGAAAACTAATTAGTCACTTTCGACAAAAAAAAAAAAAGCTAATTAGTCACCACACTAATTTATTTCATTGACGACAACAACAAAATAATTTAAGAATACTGTTTGGATACGAGATCACGGAAAACTCTCGGTTATTAGAGCACGTATAGCAGAGGCTCAACCCGGGTTCAGGCCCAAAATCCTATGCAGTTTCGAATTAAAAAAAAAAGAAAATGGGCCTAATTTTGACGATCCGGTATCATCCGGACGAGCTTGAGGAGATCGTATCACGACTACGTGTCGTGCGCTGGTTCGTCGAGAATTCAGGAAGTGGGTGAGACCAAAAAAAAAATTTCTCATCGTGCATTTCTCTTTTCTTCAGCCAAATTTTTTTTTCTTTCTCAAATGATCATCATTCAGCTTGCCAATCTCTAACACGATACGATCCCTTAAGGTTTAATCAAAGTTTCTATAGATATTTATCGGTAAGCAATTCGATACTCTTAACGATTTTTACTTTGGTAAATTTGATTGGGAATATATCTCTGTTTCTGAATCGCTCCGATCTTCCATGATCATGAAATTCCGATTGCTTTGATTTGGAGAAATATCTGTTTCTGAATCGCTCCGATCGTGTCTCTGGATGTTGAATAATTTTGATCCAAGTTAAATAATTCCTTGAAAATGATCTGTAGTTGGTATTGAGGTGAGTTAGGGAACCAGGTCAATGGCGTCTTCGTCGGATTCATGGATGAGAGAATACAACGAAGCTTTAAAGCTCTCAGAGGATATTAATGGAATGATATCAGAAAGGAGTAAATCGGCCGTAACAGGTCCTGATGCTCAACGTCGTGCTTCAGCTATACGAAGAAAGATCACCATTTTCAGTATCCGATTAGAGTCTCTGCAATCTCTTCTTGCCAAACTTCATGGGAAACCTATGTAAGCCATTAATTTTAATCTGTAAACTATACACTTTTTTAGTTTAGTGTGATCTTCTTCTTCTTTTTCTTTCTTTCCATCTGAACATTTACTTACTGACACAGCTCAGAGAAAGAGATGAACCGGCGCAAGGATATGATTGGGAATTTGAGATCGCAAGCAAATCAGATGGTGAATGCTTTGAACATGTCAAACTTGGCCAATAGAGACAGCTTGCTTGGCTCAGAAATAAAGCCAGATAACACCATGAGCCAAGTTACTTTGATTAGGTTTCATTATTGTTCTTTTCCGCGAGTTAGAACAAGATGAAGGACTTGAGAAGTTGGAGGAAACAGTCATGAGTACAAAACACATTGCTCTCGCTGTCAATGAGGAGCTTGGCTTGCAGACAAGGCTTATCGTATGTCATTGCCTTTTCATTGTTTTTTACTGCTTTGATTAGGTTTCATTATTGTAATAAATCTGGGTTATTTGCACTATGCAGGATGACTTAGACTACCATGTGTATGTTACTGACTCTCGTTTACGGGTAATGCATTAGTCAGTGAATACCTGGTTTAATGAACCACGTTATACTAAGCTAATGACTAATCATAGGCATTGATCTGTTATGTTTATTGTTTCTTATAACAGAGAGTGCAAAAGAACCTTGCTGTCATGAACAAGAATATGAGAAGTGGTTGTTCGTGCATGTCAATGCTCTTATCAGTGCTTGGGATCGTTGGCCTCGCTGTTGTTATTTATCTTCTGGTTAAGTATTTGTAATACTAACAATAGAGAACTTATAAGCTTCTCTCTTGTCTTTATATGTGAATGGTCTACTGATTCCACACGTTTGTGCTTGTGCTTTTCATTCTTCTTCCGTTGTTAGAATCCTTTAATAAATATCAAAAATTTGATGATGGCGAAACGAAATGAAGTCCGTAGCAGACAGGTGATGATCAGTTGAAAGCGGATTTAATCGAAAATCTATGTAATAAATTTGGTTGTTATGTTTAGAAAACAATTTGGTTCTTATATTTTATCTATTGTATGTTTTTAAATACTTGTAATAAATTGTAATCTTCTTTTTAAATAATTATGTGTTCAATTATATTTTAAATTTATTAAATTTTAAATTTACAAAAAAATTAATATAATATTTGGGATAAACTCCGTTTTCAGGTTCACTAATGGAACCCGAAAAAATACTCGGGTTCATCCCTTAAGCAAAAACCCAAAAAAATTATTATTCTATTCTAATGATCCCCACTCTTAGTATCACTAATGCACATGCTCTTACTCTCGTGAACTAGCATAGTTATTATTCTTATTGGTAATTGACACAGTTTTTTGTGATGACTAAATGTATAACCCATAAACTTAATGAAACCTATAACTAAACCCAACATAACCAAAGTATTTGTGGTAATAGTACAGACGGAGATCGTAGATTAATCGGCCTATAATTTTCCGGCGTGTGATGGGTGTTGAGATGGTGATCGGTATATGTCAAGGACACTTCAATGCGACCTAAGCCCTCTTATGCTTTTAATTTCATGTATGTTCATAAAAATGCTAACCAAGAGGCAAACGCACTGCCTATAAAAGGCTAGACCCTGGTTTGTAACTTTTATCACTCTCCTTGATGGTATCTTGATTAGTAGACTGTTGTTTATGTGGCTTTTGCTTAAAGATATATATGTGTAAAAGAAAATAAAAGAGAAAGAGGATATTATCCATTTTAGCCCCCGAATCAACTGCTGGACTTCACTCTTTTAGTTTTAGTTATATTGTATCTTGAGTTTTATAATAACTTTGCAAACTTTCTATGGATGCAATAAATCCAGGTTGTCTACAGATTAAAATTCAATGTGTATACTGTTAATAATGTCATCTCTCTTTATGTTTTTGTTTTTGTTTTTCTCCACTTCACGACAAGGAAAATATAAAAACTGGAGACAAATAATAAAGGAGTAGAAATAATGGAACACGTGCGGTAACATAATGCAATAGAGCCAATGTGTCGACAGGCCAAACTGGAGCCTCGCAACCACCACATTTAAATCTAAAGCTAAATCTTTGCTTAGTGTTAATCTCTTGGCACGCCCGTACTATTATTAATACCTACTTTCATTAATCCGATTAGTTATATATTTCTTGTTTATATACGTCGTATTTTAAGGAATGCCTACCTCAACCTTCGAAGTAGCTAGCGACTTGTTTTTCTTTTTTAAAAAAATTTATAGTATGGTTCTTTTTCATACGATAAATTATTGCGTATATACATGATAGAGATGGCATTTAATTAAATGTAATTGTTTATATACACATTACAAAAATGAGGGGTTTTTCCGTCGAATTATTTACGACGATTTTTAGTCGTCGTAAATTTACGACGATCAAAAATTTCGTCGTAAATTCGACGTAAAAAATGACCCTCGTAAAATCGTCGTAATGTTACGACGATATTACGACGAATGAAGAACGAATTTTATTTCATCGTAATATTGTCGTAATATTTACATCGATAATACGACTAATTGTCCTCTATCTTGTAATTGACGTAAAATCAATGTAAATGTGATGTAAATTTTATTTCGACGTAAATTTGATGTAAATATACAACGGTAATATGTTGGTAACCAAACAAAAAATTCTATATATACCGCCAATGCAACAAGATGATTGTGTCGACATTACAAAACCTGATGTTGAAGAAAATGTTCTTTTAATTGATCCACGTAATCGAGAAGTTGAAGATCTACATGGGGACGAAACAGAAGAAGGTGCTGACGAATTTCAAACAAGCAGTGATGATGACGATGATGATGAGGAGAACGAGGAAAATATTGAAGACTAATTAAGTATGATGTTGGCATTTATATAATTGCATGCTTTGAACGTTTAAATGTAACATTTGTCAAATTTGATAAATTTGTTTAAATTTAAATGTTTAAAAAATGAAAGACAATTAATGAAAAGAAAATTTGCTTAAGTGTTGACTTGGACATATGTTGATTATTACGACGAATTTACGACGATTATTTATAAATCATCGTAAATTCGTCGTAAAATGTAAACCCTAAACCCTATAGGGTTTAGCTTTCCCAACTCACAGAATGGTTTTTGGGTGCATTTTCCTGAGTAAACTAATGTATTATATAAGGTTTTGTAGTATAAGATTAAAGAACTTGTAGATATGTGGTTTATGTTACGACGAATTTACGACGAATTTACGACGAATCACACCCATTCGTCGTAAATTCGTCGTAAAATACCATCGAATTTACGACGAAATGTAACCCCTAAATCTTATAATCAATCTTTTCTGGGGTTCGGGGGGGATTTAGATGAAGATAATGATATGGCTTACCATCTCATAAGGTAAAACAACTTCCTAAACAAAAAAAAACAAATTTCAAAATTTGACATATATGTGTTTATCAAGTAATCTTAAAGTGTTATATACATTTAGAGAAGATGTAAGAATTTATCTTTGATCAAACCAAATTCTTCAGTATGTTATGTAAACATGCTAGAAACTTATACAGACCACATTTAGCATGTATAGGCATGCTTGTATGTGCTTATGGGTGTTTCAATTTTTGTAATTCATCATTTTTGTACATACCATCGTAAAATCGTCGTAATATTACGACGATTTTACGATGATATGTAAATACATAGCCGTTATAATTTTTATGATTTATAAGGATTTGTCGTAAATTCGTCGTAATTTTACGATGATTTTACG